GGGCTTGTGAGGGCTTGTTAAGGTTTTTACAAGTTTGTTCGCTAGGGTTTACTAGAGTTGTTAATTAGAGTTGCTGATTAGGGTTGTACATATTATTAAAGTAAATTAGGGTTTAGGGTTTAGGGTTTAGGGTTTAGGGTTTACGAATTGATCTTCTCCCTGTGGAGAGGAGAGCACGAGTGCAAGACCTTCGGGTGTCTCCTTGAGTTTGGGTTTGCTGCAGTACGGCAGCTGCTGCAGCAAACCTTCTGCTGCTGCTGCTGAAGCAACAGACAACCATAACCCTAAACCCTCAATGCAGCTGCTAGATGAAGACCCCAGACGAGACTCAGCCTCCTCACCCACAACCCTGCAGCAGCAGCAGCAGCAGCAGCAGCAGCAGAAAGGTGAAGCATAGGGCAGCTGAGATTACAAGGGAGACTGAAAATCAAAGGGGAATGAAGATCCAGCTTAGGGTTTAGGGTTTAGGGTTTAGGGTTTGGTTCTGAGGCATCCTAGGGTTTAGGGTTTCAATTCAAAGAGCTAGGGTTTGTTCTGCTACGTATGCTGAAGGCAGTGAGGGTTTAGGGTTTTATGTGAGTCTTGTGAATTTGCTGTTGATGGTTTAGGGTTTGGAAACGAAGGCGTAGGGTTTGCAAACCAGGGTTTAGGGTTTGCAATCGAGGGTTTAGGGTTTAGGGTTTACGAGTTCAGGATCCATTGTTAAGGGTTTAGGAGTAAGAATTAGGGTTTAGGGAATGGAAGACAAGGATTAGGGTTTGGCATGTGGGTTTACTATTTCAGAATCTAGGGTTTAGGGTTTGCAGTCTAGGGTTTAGGGTTTGCAGTCTAGGGTTTAGGGTTTGCAGCGTAGGGTTTAGGGTTTGCAGTCTAGGGCTTGGGGCTTGCAGTATAGGGTTTAGGGTTTCCAGTATAGGGTTTAGGGTTTGCAGTGTATGGTTTAGGGTTTGCACTGCAGCGATTAGGCTTTTTTAGGGTTTAGGATTTCTTAGGATTTAGGGTTTAGGGTTTAGGGTTTAGGGTTTAGGGTTTACCGAGTGACCCCATCGAATGCAAGCGCACTGGGCGTTGATCTGTTTGCTAATCGATTGACTTCAACTGAAACCGCAAGAGGGTTTGCTGCTGCTGCAGCAGCAACAACACTGCTGCTGCTGCCGAGGTCTATACCTACACAATACCCCCGCTGCTGCTGCTGCTGCTGCTGCTGCTGCTGCTGCTGCTGCTGCGGAGAGGTTGAGGATGTAGAAGGCAATTCTTCTGCCATCTTCAGTGAAAAATAAGACACCAAAAGTGAGGCGACGCGTAACGGCCTGTAAACCCTAAACCCTAAACCCTAAACCCTAGAGGGAAATTAAACTCAGTGCAATTGGTGCGGTGTACGTACACCTTAAATTTAACAACAAACTCGCTATAAAACACTTGCATGCAGAGAAGACACATAAACCACCAACAGTAAACCCTAGGGCCTAAACCCTAAACCCCAATACAGTCGCTGCTGCAGCCCCAAGGGGCCCCACAGAGTCACCTTGAGGGTTTAGGGTTTAGGGTTTAGGGTTTAGGGTTTACAGTTTAGGGTTTCTTATTTCTTGGTTGAGTCATTTTACTTTTCATTTAGGGTTTAGGGTTCAGGGATAATCCCGGCGTGTTTCCTGGCTCTAGGAAGTTGCTCTTGTCTAGTGTTTAGGGTTTAGGGTTTAGGGTTTAGGGTTTAGGGTTTGCTTGAGTGGTTTCTAAAAATGATTGTATTGCTTGCAAATTATTAATGCCTACGCATTTATTCTTGTTTTATGTTTTGAAACCTCTCGAGTTTCTTTACCGACGATTTAGGGTTTAGGGTTTAGGGTTTAGGGTTTAGGGTTTAGGGTTTAGGGTTTACGATGGAGGTAGCGATTCGCTGTCGGGGTTTATACCACGCATACGGGGAGTCTTCTTTATCTTCTCCTTTTTCTTCATCTTCTAATTATGTTTCTGATAAAGAAGAAGAAGAAGGGTTTGCATGCGGCAGCAAACAGCATCTAAACCCTAAACCCTTAACTCTAAACCCTAATAATTGTTCTCTCTTTAATATTTCTCTAGATGTTCAACAGGGGTCGCGGGTTCTGCTTGTAGGCAGCAATGGAGCGGGCAAAAGTACTCTTATTTCTATCCTTGGAGGCCAAATGGTAATAAACCCTAAACCCTAAACCCTAAACCCTAAACCCTAAACCCTAAACCCTAGTCAACCCTAGTCAACCCTAGTACACCCAAGTAAACCCTACGAAAGCCTAGGAAACCCTAGGAAACCATAATAATATACTTTATTAGACCCTAATGTACCCAAGTTAACCCTAGTAAACCCTAAACCCTAAACCCTAATAAGCTTTGGTCATGCATACCTAATAAACCCTTATAAACCTTAATGAACCCGCCTAATCCCTAATAAACCCTAATAAACCCTAAACCCTAAACCCTAATGAATTCTGGAGCTTTAAATGCGCCGTTTGGCGACTCCGCACTCTTTTTGTCTTCTTTCACTGACAGACAGCCTGGGGGTTTAGGGTTTAGGGTTTAGGGATTAGGGCTTAGGGCTTAGGGTTTAGGGTTTAGGGTTTAGGGTTTGGGGTTGAGATGCAGATGCATAATTCGGGGGAAGTGCTGATTTTAGGAAGGAAGGCCTTTAGAGATGCTTCTCTCTCTCATGATGTCTGCTGCCTCAACACCTGGTGGCGAGGAGGTACTAAACCCTAAACCCTAAACCCTAATCCTCGAAACCCTAAACCCTTCTCCTTGAAAGCGTATAAACCCTAAACCCTTCAAACCTTACAAACTCTAATTCTTACATACCCTACAAGCCCTAAACCCTGTACGCAATAAGCTGTATACCCTATAGATCCGATGAACCCTAAACCCTAAAACCCTAAACCCTAAACCCTTATGTTTTACTTCTGCAGACTACACGATGGACATCGCAGTTCGGGAAGTCCTCGCCCCCTTTCTAAACATCTCCTCCTGCTTAAATTCTGACCCTAATAACAACCCCCTACGGGGCCCCCAAGGGGGCCCCCAAGGGGCCCCCCAAGGGCTCAACAACGGGGCCCCCCAAGGGGCCCCCCAAGGTATTAACAACGGGGCCCCCCAGGGGGCCCCTCAAGGTCTTAACAATGGGGGCCCCCAGGGGGCCCCCCACAACGGGGCCCCCCAGGGGGCCCCCCACAACGGGGCCCTCCAGGGGGCCCCCCACAACGGGGCCCCCCAGGGGGCCCCTCACAACGGGGGCCCCCAGGGGGCCCCCCAAGATCTCAACAATGGGTCCCCCGAAGGGGCCCCCCAGGGGGGCCCCCAAGGGGCCCCTTTAGATTTTCCTGTATGTTGTTGCGGGAAGCGTTTTATGTGTAGTGTTTGGAGAGCATCAACTTTGATGCATTTGCTGCAAGTGAGTATTTGGTTTTGTTTGTTTTGTTTGCTTTGTTGTTAGGGTTTAGGGTTTAGGGTTTAGGGTTTAGGGTTTAGGGTTTAGGGTTGGTCATTTGTCTACTTTATCTATCGCTTTCTGTCTCCTCCAGGGTTTTAAGGTATTACTTCGCCGTTGCTCTCGCTTAGGGTTTAGGGTTTAGGGTTTAGGGTTTAGGGTTTAGGGTTTAGGGTTTGTGCGTGCAGATCAATCCCTGTTGGCGCGTAGGGCGTATATCTTCAGGAGAGAGGAGACGCGCACAGCTTCTCTGTACTCTTACAAACCCTAAGAGGGTTTATTTTCTTGATGAAGCTAATGCAGAGTTAGATATTGTCTCTAGAGATATGCTTTATAGGTCCCTAAACCCTAAACCCTAAACCCTCATAAACCCTAAACCCTAAATCCACATCTACAGGATTAGATGCTGTTTCTAGAGATATACCTTATAGGTCCCTAAACCCTAAACCCTAAACCCTCATAAACCCTAAACCCGCATCTCCAGAATTAGATAATGTCTCTACAGTCATGCTCTACTCGTCTTTAAACCCTAAACCCTAAACCCTCTCCTTTTTTATCTGTTTTTATATATTTGTTTATTTAATTTTTATTTGATTTGTTTATAAAGTATTTACTTTTCCTATTTTTTGCGTTGTTTGTTTTTATTTGTCTTTTTAAATGTAATTTATATATTTTTAATTTGTTTATTTTATACTTATTTTATTTATTTAATTAATATTTCTTTTATTTAATTAATTTATACATATTTTGTTTATTTATATTTTATTTATTTTATTTATTTATTTATTTTGTTTATTTAATTAAATCCCTTTTGATTAACTTTTTTTATTTTTCTTTTTGTCGCTTTGTTTGTTATATGTTATTATATTTGTTTATTTACTCATTATTTACTCTATCTATTTATTTCTTTGATTTGTTTGATTATTATTTTTTATTTATTCATTTAAAATTAATTTATTTTAATATAATTTAATTATGCGGTGCTAATTTTTATTTGTTTTTGTTTATTAATTATTTTTGGTTATTTAATTTATTTATTTAATTTAATTTTTAATTTAATTTAATTTAATTTAATTTAATTAATTTATTTATTTGTTTAAATATCAAAGTTGTTTATTAATATATATACATGTCTATATATATAAACATTTATATATATATATATATATATTATATATATATAAACAAATAAATATATAAATGTTTATTTATATATTTAATATATTTATATTCTTTTTCAGGTTTTTACTGGAGGAGTCAAAAACTTTGAAGACGACAGTCTTCTTCTCTTCGCATAATTTTGACGGTTTGTTTGAATTCTCAACTCATCTTTTATATTTAACGAAAGGGAGATTAGGCTGCTTTAAAGCAATCCAAGATATACCCGAGTACAAACCCTAAACCCTAAACCCTAATAATAACCCTAATAAACCGTAATAAACCCTAAACCCTAGACCCTCTTAAAAGCTTTCATATAATACACTCTGAAATAAACCCTCGAAACCCTAAACCCTTTTGACTCTCTAAACCCTAGATCCTCTAAACCCTAACTCTCTTTAAACCCATCTAAACCCTAAACCCTCTAAACCGTATACCCTCGAGCTCCAGACGCAGTACTGTACCCCGTTTCCATGTTGTCTAGGGTTTAGGGTTTAGGGTTTAGGGTTTGTTGCAGTTTGCTGTGTGGTTTGGGGTGTACGTACACCAGACTGCAGGGTGAAGCTAACTCCAACTCTGCTGCTCTTTATTCTCTTGTTCAGCGCTGGCTGCTTGAAGAGAGGGAAAACCAAACCATTCTCGCAACCCTAAACCCTAAACCCTAAACCCTAAACCCTTGTGCCAGAGAGAGAGTCAGCAGGCTAGGCGCTGAGGGACACAGGGCTTGTGGTTTAGGGTTTAGGGTTTAGGGTTTGGGCTCGGCTTCACGGGAACCTGAGGGTTTGGGGTCTAGGGTTTAGGATTAGGGTTTAGAGATGAGAGGAACGCCCCAACCCTAAACCCTAAACCCTAAACCACCAACTTTTTATCGAGCTCACCGAGCGTAAACCCTAAACCCTAACTAAACCCTAATTAGTAGCAACGCATACCCTAAACCCTAATTCTAAAAGCTGCACCGCTAACTTCCAGACTTTTACTTTGACTATGTATAGAACCCTAAACCCTAAACCCTCTCTAGAAAATTAAACATCTGGCGAGACTTCAATCTCTTTAGAAGTAGAACAAATGCAGCAGCAGCAACTGCAGAAGCAGCAACTGCAGCAGCAGCGACATATGCTGCTGCTGCTGCTGCTGCTGCCAATGTTAAAGCTGCTTCTACTCCGGTTTGCTGCTGCAGCAGCAGCAGGAGCAGCAGAGATTGTCTTATAGTAAACATATATATATATATATATATTCATATATATATTTATATATTTATATATTTATATATAAATATATTTATATATTTATATATATATTGCTGCAGGGTTTGTAATTTTTAAAATTCTTTTCTCTCATCTTTACTCTGTTGTTTGTTTATTTGTTAATTTAATAAATTTAATTAATTTAATAAATCAAATTAATTTAATTAGTTAAATTTATTTTGTTTCCTTCACCCTAAAACGCTGCAAAGAAGGACGGTGTGGGCTCATGAACTGCTGGACCATCTCATCTGTTATCTTCGCTCTTCTTTCCTGTGTACATACACCGCAAGTTTAATTATATTATTAATATTAAAATAAATAATATAGTATTAATTATATTATGAATGCTAAAACAATTAATATAACACAAATCATATTATTAATACTAAAAACAATAAATTATAATACTAATAATAAAACAATTTATATAAGTTATTAATATTAAAGCAATTAATATAAATTATACTACTAATATTACACAAATTAATATAATATAGATTATATTATTAATATTGAAACAATTAACATAATATAAATTGTATTATATAAAGGACATCATTAAAAATATAATATTTACTATGATTTGCATTATATTACACTTTAATAAACAATGAAAAACACCACAAATTCACAAGCTGCATGTACACCCCAATAAGCTGCATGCATGCATGCATGCATGCATGCAGCTTATTGGGGTGCATGCATGCACGCATGCATGCATGCATGCATGCATTGCCTCACTTGATGTTCCTTTATAATCTGCTGCAACAAAGTAATAAGCCGCTGTTTGACTTCCCCTGTTAACATCTCTCCTGAACTATACTTCTCTCCTAAACAACCAACAAACAAACAAAACAATAAAAACAAAACAAACACAAATGCATGCGTGCATGCATATGTATATGGATGCATGCATCAAGCACCTGCATGCATGCATGCATGCATGCATGTGTATATGGATGCATGCATGCATGCATGCATTCATGCATGCATGCATGTACAAGATAGATGCACGCATGCAGCAGGGCCAAGCATGCATGCATGCATGCATGCATGCATATATGAGTGAATATAGTGTATATATTATACTTATTTGTTGCAATTCGTCTTCATCTTCTAAAAAGAAAGTTAAATATTGAAACGGGATATCCACAGATAAATCTGCACCCAGACGGCGATGCTCTTCTATTGTTGCTCGGCCCCCTGAAAAACATATAATTAATTAAATTATATTAAATTATATTAAATTATATTAAATTATATTCATTCATTCATTCATCCAATTATGTAGAATAGAGTTTAAACCTCACACCATGCGTGCAGTGTATATATATATATATATATTATTTAGTATATATATATATATTATTTAATATATGTATATATATATATATATTAAACGCAAATATATATGTGCATATATACATATCTATAGAAATATATAGATGCATATACAAATATCTTTGTAAATATATACAAATGTATATAAGTATACATATAAGTATATATATATATATATATATTTATATATATATATTTATATATACCCATATACACACTACACACATCTACATCTGCTATACACACATACATACGTACATATATATACATACATATATATATATATATATATATATATATATATATATA